TGGCTCGTTGGGACTGTCCAGGATGGCAGAATTGGCATCCATGTCTGTCGCCACATTAAAATTCATACAAGGCACAAACAAGTTGCCGAGATTTTCATGCCATCACTGCTGGGAGCTGAATAAAAATCACATTAAATTTACTTTACACTTCTGCAACAGCTGGTGGCCATGTCTTAAAGTGCTTTTCAAGCCTGTGGGCCAAAGAAAAATCAGGATCCTTTCAAGTCAAGGAGGTTTCCCATTAATGTAACGTGGTTGGCTTTGCCAGTGGGACAGATTTTCCAACGTGCTCAGCTGTTTTCCAAGTCTGGCATCTTCTTATGGCGCCTGAATTGAAGAAAAGCTCCTGAATAAAATAAATGACCCTGTGATTTCCCGGGATGCTAGCTCAGCCAGTTTCGGTCATTGTACACAGGTGCTGGATGATGCCACTGTACAGGGGCTAAGCTCATCCTGCACCGGATCCAGACAATCCCAGGAACAGCATCCAAGCCTCCCAGATTTATAATAATCCTGGAAATACGACAGATCTGCTGTATTTTATTTTGGTGATGCAAAAAGTGTAAAGCATGCAGAAAGAAGCATATTCCCTTTTAGCATGTTTCCTCCGTGAAAATATTATCACAGCCTTAAACAGCTTTGGAAAAGGGGAAAAAGAGAGAGGGAGGATGCAGCACGTGCATGCAAAAGGGCAGGGTTGGGCTGAATTCATCATTTTTCAAGAAACTTTTCACTTCAACAGAAGTTGTTCTCCACGGGATAAAAACAGTGCCGGCAGGGCGATGGGACATCAGCTTGAGCCATGTGGCTTGATGATTTCTGCTTGCAAAGGGCTGTACTCTTATCTGCAGGAAAATTACTCGGGAGGGGGTGATGCAATGATGTCGGGGTGCTGGTGTAGTGTTTTTATGTATGCTTTCTGGCCCTGAAGCCTGCCGAGCTCCAGGCTTTTCAAATCCATGCAAAGGGAAACCCCTTTGTGGGATGGGATGGGGAGCTGGTCTCTGCAGGAGCGAGCAGCCACGGTTTGCCCACGTACTCAGGAGTTTCCTTGTTTGCAAAGGGCTGGTTTTGTTGTAAGCTAAGTCTTTACTCTGAAAAGTCTGGGCTTCTGGATGTCAGAATTAATATACACTTGGTCTTCTTGGCCCGCAACCGAAACGCAAACCTCCATGGTCTAATTTTCTTAATGAATTTAGCTCCTAAAGCCACAACCAACCCGCTGGTGACACCCTTCCAGGTGAGGCTCTGCCACCTCGCCTTGTGCCGGCTGGGGACCCAGGGCCGTGCTCCCCTATTAACCAGCCCCAGCCCCTCCCAGAGCAAATATCTGGGCTCTTTGGACATCCCTGGCAGATGGCACCTCCTGGCCCACCACCGAGATGCTAGGTAAAGCCCTCTGCAACCAGCCTCTGCCCCAGGGCTGAGCAAAACTCTTGGCAATGGTGTGGAAATCGCTCTTGCTCAAGACAGGAAGGCAAGAGAGGCCGTTAGAGCATCTTGCTCGAAGGGTTGACCTCCCAGCCATGACACTGGGATTTCTCTTTGCTTATGGGGCAGAAAAGGGGTCTGAAGACCCCGCTGAGCTGCTCTGGCAGCATCCACAGCTCTTGCAACCACAGGGTTTGCAGCTCATGCACATGGAGGAAATAAAATACCATGGTAAGCCAACGCAGGGCACTGAAGTTGGTGGCTCAGAGCAAGTTTCCATCAATAGTGAGATTTTTCGACTTGGTAGGAGAGCCCATGGAGAAGCACATCCCCCTCAGTGGCTGAAGCATGCTGCTCAGTTTGGTGCATCATGCTGGCTGAGCCAGAGTGTGCACGGAGCACAGTAAGCACAGCACCCGGGGCTCGCAGAGAGATGTGCCCAAGGGTGTTAAAGAAAGGCGAGCGGAGAGGGATGGAGGGAAGAAAAAAAATAGAGAGGAAACAGCTTTTCCGGCTGCCCCCGCGCCAAGCCATTGCTTCCAGAGATGTCTGGTGGCTTTGGGAGGCTCAGCTAACCAAACTGGAAGGCAACACTTCCTTTGTTGTCCCAAAAGCTTAATGAAAGCCTGCAAAAAAAAAAAAATTAAAAAAGCCTAACTGCCCCCAAATGGAAAGTTTCTCGCATGAAAGGGACGGCGGGATGTTTGGCAGCAGCCACGGCCCCTGCTCCAGTTTTCTTGGACTTTTTAGGCAGTTTCTCTTGCAGCTAGTGCCCTCTCGCGGAAACCTCTCATCTGCTCCATTTTTACTGTTTTTTTTCCCCAAAATGAGATGATTGTCCCACAGAGAGAAGGAGCACGCACAGAGGCTGCGGTTCTGCCCAAGCCCAGTACGGCCAGCAGTGCCAGGGACGGGCTCGTGCCTTCCCACCCAGCACTGGGAAGGAGGATTTCATTGGGATGGAGGATTGCAACCCCACAATGCCCCACCACGAGATGAGGCCTTCCCAAGCCAACGTGCTCCATGGTGGCAATCCAGGATGGTCTGATCCCAACCCCGCAGGTGCTAAGGGAAGGTCTCCCACTGGCAGCACCACAAGCTGCCGCCTACTTTGCTCCCTGCCTCACCTCCTGAAAAGCATGAGATAATTGGGAATGGGAGCAAAAGGTGACGACAGCGTTCCTCTCAGATGTCCGAAAGTCAAAGTGATACCAGCACGGAGCTGGGGGCAACAAAGAGCCGGCCGGATTGATGTGGCCAGTGGGGATAGGAGCGGGATGCAAGGTCGATTGCTGGGAGAAGTGGTGCCTGAGCTGGCGGAGCAGCAGTGCCATCGCCTGGAGCCCTCCACCAAGATGCTCTCCTCCGGGCAAATCCCAAAGCGAACACAAACACACGTTATTTTTATTTTTCCACAGCCGAGACCTCTCCTGGAGCACGGACACTCCCTGGCAAAGGGGCCAGGCTTTATGCCGGCCTTCCCTTATGCCAAAGCATCAAGAGGCTGAGCATCCCTATTCTTTCCTTTTTTCAACCCAAAAGCATGGGAAAGACTGCCGGTCAGCCTTCACACCGGTGCTGGCAGCAGCAATGCAAGCAAGGACCACCCTGCCATAGTTGGGTCAGGCTTGCACCAGGGCACCCTAATTTTGCATCGAGGAGATGCAGCTCTTGAGCACGGCTGGGGGAAACTCTCCTGTAACGGGGGCCCCTGGTTAAATATGAAGAATAAAGAGGTTTGGGGATGGTGTTTGGGGCAGTGCTGGGGATGGTAGGTGGCAGGGGAGCGCTGGGGTCAGGCATTGTTCAAGGGGTATGGGGCTGTGGATGATGGGGGAAAGCAAATTTGTTGTATCAGAAAGCGAGGGTTTGCAGAAAACGAGGCGCCTGGGTTAATTTTACCCTAAAAAATAAGAGTTTCCATCTGTGGCCCCAGTAATTGCAAAGATCTGGTGACAATTCTGCCATTTTCCACCGATTCATGCACAAACTGCAAATTTGTGCCTCAAACCAGTGCTGCGCTCTGTGCCGCAAACATGTTCAAACCCCCTCCTCCAGGCATAAATAAGTAAAAAAAAAAAAAAAAGAAGAAGTAATAACTACGGCTCCTGAGCCCGATTCTGGGGCAAGGCGGGCAGTACTGGGGGGTGCCGGTACTGCCCCTGCAGATGGGACCTTGCTGAGGATGGGAACCGGAACCACGGAAAGGCCACGGCGGAGGGGTGGTCCTACCTATAAAATAGCATATATGCTGTTGTACGCCATTTTAGCATATTGTGTGCTATTTCGGCATGTACAGTATTTTATAGGATATCTGTACACACATAGAGGCTATATTATATTGTATATGCCATGTGTAATAAAGGATGTAGTGTATACATCTTAAATGCCACAGAATATGCGAGATGTACAAACAAAAAACTAAACATAGATCTGCTTATTACGCACAAGCACACACAAATAATGGGGGAAAAAATGTATACTCTACCTGTTCCTTAAGAAGTGCGGGTCTGACACATGTGCCGCCCAGACCCTCCCCTGGGCCCCGGCGCGCCGCGTCCGTGACCCCGCCCCCGCCGCCCCTGGCCGCGCCCCCAGATCTTGGCCACGCCCCTCGCGGCCAGGCCGCCCTGGCTCCCCTCCCCTCAATCCCCCAGA